TATAAGAAAAATAAAAGAAGAATAAGAGAAACAATAGGACAGGGACGGTAGGCACGTTGGTGCGCTTATGCACGCCCCCTACAGACCTCTTAGGAAAGGGGTGAGGTCAATAGTAGACAGTCTAAGGTTAAAGTTTTTGGGGTTTGGGGAAGAAACCACAGAGTCAGGTAGAGTATTCCAGACATTGACTACTCTATTGCTGAAGTCGTTATGTAGAGTGAGAGAGGTGTGTCCCATCCCTATTTAATGGTTAAATAGTATTTTGTATATTTCATGTATCAAAGCAAAAACATGTATTGAAATGCATGGGAGTGCTCATGTACAGTAGCATTATTTACAGTTTCCTAAACAGATAGATCTTTTCCTGGCATAGTTCTGCTTATTAGGAAGATATGTATTTGATGTCAGTAATTGGAAATAGATTTTGTGTGAAAAAGCACATTTTTGCCTTTACATTCCAAGTGTTGCATTGCCTGGTTTATTAACTTTCAAGAGCCAATTAAGAGTTATTTTATATTATAAATCAAAATACATTCTATGCTTGACAGATGGGATATTTTATTCTTTGTTTATGCTACATTAGTATAGTGATATAGTGTCATGACCACTCTCCTCTAATCAGGAGTCTTGTGCTCTGCTATGACAAACTAATGAAATAGATTCATTGATAGATTTATTCACAGAGGTAGGGTGATGAGAAGATTGTCAGATATAAACACAATGAATTTGATGTATTCAATACTTATTAAAAGAGGTCTTGGGATGGTGTTTAGAAATAGTAGGCAAGCAACCTATGGCAACAGTACAATAAAGTAATTTAATATATTGAAACCTGATATGTATACAACTCTTCAGATATTGTGCAGTATTTAATGCTATTAACGCATCTGTTTGTTAAAAAATATACAAATGAAAGTTTGATAATGCATTTTTCAAAGTTAGTTTTCCGAATTTTAGCTCCATAGCCATCAGAGATGTTTATATTATTTCTTGTAGGAAGCATTGCAATCATTGTTCCTCTGGTCCTGTTGGTGACATTGATTACTACTTTGGTAATAGGTTTGCTCCTCTGTAAAAGAAAACGAAGGTAAGTATTTATCTTATTATTATTAAGCCTTTGCTAAGTTTTTGGCAAAAATTGCTTCATAGATATGGCAAAGAAGTTTCCAAAAATTGGCATCTGCATTATAGAATTGTCTCATCCCTCTTAATTTTCTGTAACTCCCTCAAATTTGGTTCTGTTATCAGGCTTGGAAATCCCAATGGAATTATGAGTTGCTGAACTGGCTCCATTGCTTTTTTTAATCATATTTTTTTAGTGTTAACAGTTTTTATATTGCTGTTTTACAGGTTTTTTTATTGCATGCCACCCAGAGTTACATTTTGTGAAATGGGCAGCAATATAAATATGAAAGATGGGTGGGTCAGTGGACGGAGAGATAGATTTCATGCTCAACTGAAAGGAAATTTTATTTTAATTTATATTACTAGCTGGAAAAATTTTCTTACCTCTATAGATCTTTGAGGCAGCAGGAACATAAAGCACAGCTTGTCTGCAAGAAAAAATATTACATTGGCAAAAGTTAGAGACATAGATTAAAAGGAGTTTTTTTAAAAAAAAAAGAAAAGAAAAGTATTTTGTTAAGTTTGAGTTTGATATCGTAGTTAAACAAAATGGAATGAAGTTATTCAGGGAGACTTGTGAAATAAAAAAAAGTTCTTAAAAACCAAACTCTAAGGAACTGCCATGGAGAAAGGAAATACCAAGGGACAATTTTCTGCCAATGTTATCATTGAATGAGTATTGGTATAAATAGCATGTAAATATTTGCATTTCCCCCCACAATATAGTCTTTCAGACATAGCTTGGGAACTTTTGGAAGAATATTTTAACATGTGTTATTTTATATAGGTTTATTTCCTATTTCCCTCTTATATATTGTAGGACAAAAACCATCCGACGACAACCAATAATAAATGGAGGAATCAATGTAGAAATTGGAAACCCATCGTACAACATGTATGAAGTGGGGCATAATCACAATGAGAGGAATCTTTCAGAGTTCACATTAAATCGAGAAAAGGTAAATCAAATTTCTGTTACATTGCTTCCTCAGTCGTTCCATGGCAGTGAACTACTGAGCTGGAATAAGATCCAAAACTGCCTATACATGAATGGAAGGAATCTTTCGGTAAGGGGAGAATCTATGATCCAACAGAGGCTTTTACTGATGGAAGGGACACCAGTAGGGGTGGGCTTCAAAAACTTTAGCAAAGGATTCTCTGCCTGGTTGCTGGGTGGGCGTGGCCATGGTGGGTGTGGCCTAGTTGGCCTCCTGCACTATGGTGGGTGGGTTGCCCTTCCCGGGCTTTGGAGGCTTTCTTCGAGCCTCTGGGAAGGTGAAAACGGTCTCCCGGGGCTCCGGAGGCTCTCTGGAAGCTGAAACGAGCCCATTTCCGGCCTTTCTGAACTTCCGGAAGGCCCATTTTTCACTCTCCCTGAGTCTCCACACACGCTCTCCACTTATGTGCCTCCAAAACGTGCTGCATGGGAACTCTTGGGAGGGGAGGGATAGGGTGGGCAGGGCCAGCCAGGAATGGGATTGCACAGAATCTTAGCTAGGGGCTCTCCCAAACCCCTGCGAACCTCCAGTAGCCCCCCCCCGGACACCAGCAGAATAACAGAATAACAGAGTTGGAAGGGACCTTGGTGATCTTCTAGCCCAACCCCCTGCTCAAGCTGGAAATTCTATACCATTTCAGAGAAGTGGTTGTCCAATATCTTCTTAAAAACCTCCAGTGTTGGAACACCCACAACTTCTGAAGGCAAGCCATTCCACTGATTAAGTTTTCTGTCAGGAAATCTCTCCTTTGTTCTAGGTTGGTTCTCTCCTTGATAAGTTTCCACCCATTGCTTCTTGTCCTGCCTTCATGTGCTTTAGAGAATAAGTTGAGCCTCTCTTCCTTGTAGCAGCCCCGACATATTAGAACACTATCATGTCACCTCTAATCCTTCTTGTCATTAAATTAAACATACCCAATTCGTGCAAATGTTCTTCATATATTTTAGCAGTTTTCACTGACTCTCTCTCTTCCTTCCAGCTGCTCTCACCAAAGGTTACACTGTTCCAGTAGAAATCAGGTAGAGGCATAGGGCCGTCTTTTAAAATATTTCAATCACTTTCATTTGCAGAAGCCTCCAATGGATCCAGTGCATTTATGCCTGATCTATGATGGTTCATTCACATCAATAAACTAACGTGTGGAGTTGCACTTTTCAAATAAAGATGTGATCTGTGTAATAGTTCTACATTACATATTTTAAAGCTAGAATAAGACACTGCATTTTAAATTATAACATTGCCTGTGTTGGTTAGCCTTCCATAAGTGTATTTTTGTGATTTAAAACATGCAGGTTTAAAAAAAAAACAGTGATTGAAATATTTGTGTTTTTGCCATTGTAAGTCCAGTTTATTTCAAGAAAACTTGTTCCTCTGGTTCCTATTATGCACTTACAGAGGCAAAAGAACATCATCCTTTACTGATTCTTCAATGACAGCACAAGTATAGTTTCAAGACAGCAAGTAGGCAGAACCATAATGTATAAACATAAGAATGGATATGAACTGGTAGGATACAAATAGTAGTACAGCATAATAGTTCCTGGACAAGACTTAATATTCTAATAATTGGTCCAATTTAACTTCATAGTCCAGGAGTTTCCTGCAGGAAATTCACAAACAATGAGTAAAAGTTATTTTCTTTCACATTATCTATTAATAAAAGAGATTACTCCACATGACAAAAAAAATTAGCTTACAATGACAACAGGCAGTGGTGAGTCTATCATCCTTGAAGTTATTTAAATTCTTATAAAATAATCTGAGGTAGTATCTATTTTCATGTTCTGTAGTATCAGTATCTTCAATTATATGCTCTGAAATAAAAACAACTACTGCCTATGAAATAGGAAGGGCAATCCTGATTTATATTATATTTATATTATATGCAAAAGAATAAAAGGTTGTTACTTACATATGTATGTTATTTCTGTGATAGAATACCACAATTGCTTGGTTGTCTAAACTAAGTAGGCAATACATTTTAACATTTTTTAAACAGAATCAGTATCAGCAGATGCAATGATCTCGTGTTCATTTCTTCTCTGTATTGTATACATTTATCTGATGCAGTGATCTGAATGGTATTACTACAATTGTCTTTGCATATGTGGTATAAAGTATATTTTTCTGCTGTATTTTTTCACTTATTTTTAAGCACATATAATTTTTATATGTATCATTATGCCATGTTTCTTCTTTTCTTTTTCTATTGTTATTTTAAAAGCAATAAAAATAAAATATATTTCCACACATGATATATTTTCAGGTACATATAAGCACTGTCTTGGAACTATATATTTTAAAAAGTGTACTTTAGTTTCTAATAAAATAATTCTTACAGATAAGAGAAATGGTATCATTAGGGCCTGATCATGGGAAGCACATGGTGTCCCTGAAGTTTTATGGGTCTCCATTTAATAAAGAACTCTGGGAAACATGATGACAAGACACAATTGATTGAAATTTCCACCCTCCCTCCATCCCCTCCTTTTTTGGGGGTGGGTGGGTGGGTAACATCAAAGAAACATTTTACCCCTAAATTGAGGGGAACAAGCAATCATAACAAAATAACAGAGTTGGAAGGGATGTTGGAGGTCTTCTAATCCAACCCCCTGATCAAGCATGAGACCCTATACCAGCAGCCCTCAGGCCAGATGCATCACACATTGGCCATGCCCATGCCTGGTTTAGTGAAGGTGGGGGAAAAGTCACAATATGTCACGTGACAACACGAGTTTGATACCCCTGCCCTATACCATTTCAGACAAATGGCTGTCTCTTTTTAAAAGCCTCCACAACTTCTGGAGGCAAGTTGTTCCATGGTTCCATTCATGGCTGGACAAGAGCAGGACATTATTCTAGCAAAAGGGAAATCTCAAATCCTACCAGTGGTGCTGCTTCAGGGGGATGTGGGGGAGCAGAGAGAACATGTCCCATTGTTCCAAATAATAATCACCTTTATGAATTCCTGAAAGGTAGGCCTTCACTAATACAAAGCCTATGTTATTCCATTCCAAAATAATAGCTGAGTAATGGATTAGATATGGTGGTATTTTTTAATCAATCAAGTTTGGACAATATGCTGTATTTTGTTTTCTTCCTACATCCTTCACAAAATGAAAATTAACTTGATCCCATTATGTTTCCAGTATGAATATCTTCCTGAATGTAATCTAAGAAAAAGCTTTTTTATTTTATTTTATTTGTTTCTGTAAGGGGGGAAAAGTTACACATGTGTTTTCACTCACTGTTTGCTCACACTTTTCAGAATGGAAGGGGAAGATGTATTATTTTAAAATAAGAAAATAAATTTTGAAACATGCTTTATTCAATGCAGGGCAGATACATAGGAGGAGGTCCCACAGTTTTCAAGCTCCCTCACACGGCACCACCCATCTACCTAAGCTCTGATCTGAAAGGACCTCTAACAGCAGGGGTGAGAAACAGTCATTCATTTTCCATCTTCATTCTATTACACTGCTTTTCCAACAGTTACAAATGTTTCTATGCTTTCTCACATATATGCTAGGAATATTGACTGAATAATGAATTTTCCCTATTAACTAGGTCTACTACATTTAGGCAGCATATTCTTATTCACTTTTGAGGAACAAAGTAGATGTGATGTTAATTATGGGAATAATTGTGTAAAAAAATGTAAGTTGTGTATTTTTGTTGTATGTAAAATAATAAGGATATCATATCTGGGTTGTAAAAAATTGGGATGGCCTCTACACTCTAGCTGAAATAGATTTCTGCTAGAGTCTAGAGTCCATCCCAAATTTTTGCAGCCCAGATATGACACCCCCATTATTTTACATAAAACAAACATTATACACGTTAATTATATTCCCATAATTAACTTTACATCTACTTTGTTCCTCAAAATGCAACAAGAATATGCCACGGCACACCAATTTATAGTTTGGTGGTAAGTTATTTTCTTCCAGAGTCAAAACATACAAATTATACTATATTGGAAGGGTGCGCTGAATTTAGTTTCATGTAGCTTTTCATTTTTCATTTCTTAACAGAAAGATTCTTCCTTCAGGGCAAACAATGTCAAAACTTAGTTCTCAAAAGATATCAGACCTGTGTAAGATGAAAAGAAGAAAAGAGCAGAATTCTTTCTTCTTCAGGTTTTCCATCTCTATACATTTTCCCATCTGAACAATAAACAATATTGGGTCCATGGTTGCCATAGAAGTCCCAATTTTGTGATTCATGAACAATTCTACAGAATACCCCTTTTTGGATTCTAACTTTGTCTAATACTAAGGAAGTACTGATTCAATCTTTTCTAAAGGCTTAAGGTACAACAACACACATTACATTGGCAGGATTCTCTTCCATTTTAGTTTCAGGGAAAGAAATAGGAAAAATCTTTGGACTTCTTGGATGTTCTCCCAGAGATGATATGATGGCAGTCCAAAACCATTTGAACCTTACATGTTCATAAATATGTGCTTAGTTTTGATAGAGTTTCATTAGCACAATATATGCAATTAAAAAAAGATAGATGCACTGAAAGCACATTCAAAATATGTTTTAAAATAAGGCAAAAACGTTAATATTCTCAATTTACTCATTTGCAACCATCTAAATAATATGTTGAAAATATTTGAACTGTTTTAAATATGAGTGACATTGTTATTAATCATCTTCATTGGCAAACATGCATGTATTTATATATTTCATTTTTCATGATTTCTATAACTGAAAATCATTTTGCATGTATTCAATTCTGCAAAATGACTCTTCTTCATAAAAAAAAATTGCTGGAAAATGTTTTACAACATAAAGAGTGGATGATTGGAATAATGTAAGGGACTTTGTTACTCTTTTATGCTGAGCTTCTCTGATCATGAATTTTTATATTCCAGCCAATTTTATACTGCTTGACACTCATTAAGAATGCATCTTAATTCTGTGCAATATTTAATACTACTTATTTTTTACTAAGGATACATGGACAAGTAGGACTGGTTGCATATGGCAATAATGACAATAATTGGGTTTGAAGACTCAAAATGTGAATTAAATCATGAACTCATGCTATGAATGTTTCCAATATTGTTCTCAATAGGCTTAAAAACAGGGTGACCTTTGTTTATCTCAGTGTTTGAATCATGCTTTCTCTCTCTCTTAAGATCATCAGAAAAGTGAACTCATTTAAGCACAAAGCGGATAGGAAGCAATTTGGGGCAGACCTGTAGTCTGAAATTCTGGCTAGGTTTATGACTGAAAAAAGAGCACATCAGCAAAATGTTTTTCAGTGCAATTGCAATAGATCTTAATTTTTTTGGTATGAGGTATTGCTTTCTAAATGGGCATACAACAGAATTATTTCAACTATGCATCTAGCTAGATCCTTTTGAACTGTACACTTAGAGAGATGTACAATAGACCACCAGACAATAAAATAAGGGCAGACAAATAGCTAAACTGGCCAGACCAAAAGCCATCATGTCCTCCATTTTGTTTCTGGTTGCTAATTTTATCACCCAAGAAATCTAAATTACAACATGAATATAGTAGTTTTTGTTTTCCATCAACTTGTATTAGGAGCTATATTGCCTCTGTATCTGCAGGGGAGATGTAGCTATCAGAACCAATACTTATTTATGCTTCATAAAATGATTGTCCATAGAAACAAACATTTAGAACAAAATGCAACATTTCATAAATTAAACATAAATTCACATATTTCATGTTCTTCACCATGAAGCCCTTTGTTTCCCCTGAAAATCTATTTGAGAAGGCTGAAGTCATAAGTTTCAAAGGTACAATAAACAAGGTAAATTACTTCATATTAGGCAGAGGAATGTTGTAGCAGTCACATTAAACTCTTGAATTTACAGTTTCCCTTCTCACTGCAGTATAGTTGCAGAGTCTATAAGTTCTATTGATTCCCCAAACAGGAATTTTTAGTGGTACTCAAGCCGAAGGGAGATACAGGCAAGGAGAAAGTTTAATTATTCAAGCTCTTTGCACAATATTGGATTTTACCAACATAATTCAAATAAAAATTGCTTTTCTATCTGCTCTTTGCATCACCACTCAGCCCTTTCATGCACATTAACCTGGATACTTTTTCTGCTATACTTCTAACAATAGCCCTCTTGTAAGGGAAAAACTCTATTTGAGCATCCTTTTTATGTGCCCTTGTAAGTCTAAATGCACTAAGTTTAAACTATGCACATAATAGGTATGGATACAAATATACATAGTAGTCCAAAGATAACCAGAACATGTCTATTGATGTTAGTTGCTCCTGTCTCTCTTTTTTATTAATAGTAGCTTGGTGATATAATTGCTAATTCTAGATTAAGTTAAAAACAGAATTTGGGTCTAAAATAAACCATTATAAGTATCTTGGAAATTAATCCATTACTGTTTTGGCTTGGTAAAGACTAAACATTGCCCTTTATGTTTTAATAGCCTGTTTCAACCTTCAATCAACATCTGGATAAGGAAAGGGAACCCATCTGATCCCTCCCTTTTATTAATTTTTACATAGCTGGTGTTTCATTAATATCTCTGCTAGGGAATAGAATAAACTTTTAAATCAACTTCCAGATGAGAATCCTTTGGGACTTGTCAAGCATAAACAGTCATTCATGATCTATAAAGGAAGGGTATGTCTATTGTAAAGCAAAACAAATAATCAGCTGGGACATCTGTGATTTTCTCCTCCTCTATTCCAGATAAATTTAGATTCTCCCATGTATGTCATCATTGATGTACAAAGGGTCTCAGATGAAATATTATAACAGCCTCTATTCCTTAGTTTAAAAATCATTCCTTAGTGTCTTGTGATGTATTTTTATTTATTTATTTACCAAATTTAGATAAATGTATGCACATCATGTTCCTTTTCTGATTAGCATTCACTCAGGGGATTTACAACAGTCTAAATAACAGTTACTATGTTTGTCTGTTTTCAGCCAACAAACTATTCAAATCCTGTATATGCAAAGTTATACATGGATGGGCAGAATTGCCGAAACTCCTTAGCAAGCATGGATGAAAGAAAAGAACTTCTTCCAAAGAAAATAGATATTGGCATAAGGGAGACTGTGGCATAATCCACTGTAATCTTTTGTATACTGTATAAATGTATAAAATATAAGGATTACTTTTCTATGTACCAACAGTATTATAATTGTTTTGGCATCAGCATTACCTCTGGATATTTTTTCAATTTGGTTGGTGGTTATCTGGGTCTTTCTTTTGCTGATGACTTGACTGACCATTTGTATGGTATTTTTATGAAGAAGAAAAAAACTGCACTACCGTACAATTTGCAACAATGCTGCTGATATAACACATACTGAATTTGTTAAAAATTTGAAGAAATTTGTAGTGTGAATATGGGCAATCTATTTTGTATGAATTTTTTCCTTTGGTTTTACTTAATCTACTGAAGACAATATCTGCACTTTTCCATAATATGGTCTGAAGACTGTAGTACAGTGTGTGAATTTGTTTTTGTTTCAGATAGTGGAAGTATGATTGGGTTGTTACTCTCTTCGTGCTCATTAGAAATTCACTTCAGAACCTTAAAACTATAGAGGAGCTAATTTCACAATCAAACATAACTTGCTTTTCCAATTAGCTTTAGGTTGCAAAGAAGCTATGAGTACTATAGAAAACATCTAATGGCCTGCATGAGCACAGATTATTCCGTTTTGGAGATTCAGTGATTGTCCAAGCTATACTAAACATATATACCATGTAAAAATTCTTCATATTTAGTAAAATCTTAGTGAATTTAGTGATATACCACTTGAAGTGGTGAGACTTTAACAGATGTGTGAGAAGGCCTCTTCTGCAGTCCTGATCCTAAGAGGGCGTTGCCAAGTCCGCACACAACTTTATGCATTTCTTTAATCAGTCACAGACACACTTTGTGTATGATGAGTTTTCCTATGTTGACAGGAGAGCAAAAAGCCATAAGCACACACATGGAGAACCAGATTCCTAGGAGGAGGGAGGAAACTCAACCCTTTCACAAAAACATTACAGCAAACAAGTCTTCATTCTTTTGTATCAATCAACACATTTATTTAAAAGCAAGTATGAATAAATTTTAAAACTTCTTCAACAAACCTCAAGCTCACATTCTCAATTATGGAGAGTGTAAAAATGTAATCAGTTTCCAGCACTTTCTCTGGCATTAGCTTATTTTATGTTGTTATGAAGAATAAAAAAAAAATGAATACAATATTTGCCTTTTTTTTAATTGTGGCAGAAAGATGTCATGCAATTTGTTTAGGATGTTAAAAGATAACCACCCATGGAATCTTTTCTAAACAACTTTAAGGCACAAAATATTTCTCACACTAGTATTCAGAAAACTAGAGGGCTTTTCATTCCTCAGCTACGTGATGATTTTAGCTGTCATGATCCATTAATCTAACAGATTAAATACGTTTGTGGTGGCTCTATTCCCTTTGTACAAACATTGCAAAAATAACAGCTGTTTTATAAGAGAATTTTTGTTGTATTCTGTGCATGCATACTACCTATTTCTAAACTTTGCCATGTTGAGGCCTTTATTAAAAAACAACTTGATTCAAGTAAATACAAGTGCAGTTTTGCTTGAACAATATTATGCATATTTTGCAAAACTTCAGTTTTTCAGTTTAAAACTGTTTGATTCTTAATTTCATTTTACTTGGTTAAAAGAGTCATGCCGCCTATATTTCTAGGTATTATATATCTATAAAAACATTGGCTTCCTTTAATTAAATGATACATTTCATTATTGGACTGAACATTTTAAATGCACAAAGATATTACATAAGCAACATAAACTAGAAACAAATAAACATGAAACGAAGAGAATTATATTAAAATCACATTACAGTGGGATATCAGTTTAGTGGATCTTCTTGCTATGAACTTTGAGTGAAACAGATGTCATTCCTGTTGTATATTCACCATTTCACATCAAATGAAGGAAACAATGAAAATGATATAGTTTGCCTAATGACACTGTAGGGCATGGGTGTCAAACTTGATCGTGTATCATGATGTTTTTGGGGGCTTTGCGGAGCTGGGGTGGGTGTGGCCTGTACGTGATGCATCCGGCCCATGAGCCGCCAGTTTGACACCGCTGCTGTAGGGGGATGGGGAACTCTCTGACCACAAGTGGTCTATTAAACAGTTCTGATGTTCCTTAAAAGCACTTTGTGTTTGTGGAGGTGGGGGGATTAATTTTTAACACATTTGCTTGGCTTTGTTATAAAATTCTTGATGAAAAATAAACATGTGGCCCAGAAAGAAAAAGAGGATTACATCTGCATACATGTAACATAACATAGCAGATCCTGTTAAGCCCCTTTACCAAAAAGAGATATAAGTTTTATCTTTATTTATTCTCAGCCCTTTCTCTTCCGCTTTCTCTTTCTTTGCCAAAATGCAGGTTCCTTCCTTTTTTATTCTTACCTGGGAAATACTATTAATTTTAAAGAAAACTGAATTAATATTTATGGATTTTGATGCTCCTATTTAACGATGCTGCAAGTCACTTGGACGTATCCTGTCCATTTGCTATACCTAGGATCTAATCATTTCTGTTTGGCTTTGAAATAATTTCAAACACCTTAAGGTGATTTTAGCCTTCTTAGTCTCGCCTTGAACTTTCCACTGCTAATTACTCCATTAATTATCTAAGGGCTGAACTATATTTTCTTGATATAGAAAATAAAAGGTCATAGTATTTCTTTCAAAATTCACATCAGAGATATGCTAGGGAGGTTTTAAATATCCCATTCCTGTTCAATCATAGTCTACTCTCTGGATGTGCTTGTAGACTTGACATCCATACAAGTGAATTCTTAAAGCCAGTAGTAGACATCTGTGCTAATGTATTTCCAATTAGTCTATATTGTGTTGGAATGGACTCTTGGAGTGACTTTCCTTTTAATGCACTGCAGCTCAGGAAAGTTTGTGAGTTCAGGAGCTTTTGGCAAAAGCTCTCATTTCCCATATGCTCCTGGCTCAGGGATAGCCTCTTTTCTGTCCCTGAAGGCTATCTTTTCCCCTTCATCTTGCTGAGATGCTCTTCAAAGTAAAAAAAGGGGGTAGTATTTTTGCATCTCTCTCCCCCAAATAACTATTGCAATTTTTAATTTCACAGAATTACTAGCCAAATGCCCAGAATAAGTGATGAAAATTTGGGAGGGGTGACTAAAAGTTGTGTTCTTGCTCAGCATTTTGCAGTTGGGCAGCCATGAAGATGATGAGCACTGCATTAGCTTCCACTATTTTGGGAGAACTGGAGTGGACTGGAAATTATTGCATTATTGTTTTGGCAGGTCATGGTTTGTACCAAATGTGACTTCCCAACCCTTTTGGATTAATGTAGTAATACAGGTTCTTCAATTTCTTCAAAACAGGTGCTCCCCAATATAGAGAAACAGTTTCAAAGCAGTGAATCATTACAGTAGCTGCCTATTTTCCCAACCTAACATTGTTGCTTAGAAGCTGCAATTGGCTGTTTCCGCTAACTTAGCTTCATGTTTTTCCCCAGGGTAAGAAAGTAGCTGTTCATCCACAGATGTGTGGACACAGCAGGGGCAACTTCTGAAGCAGCTCCATGTCCCTGTACAAATGAAAGTTTGCTTTAATGATCTAGAAAATACTTGCACCCATGCATTGCACAGCAGTTCTGCAAAAATTAAACAGATCCAATATTTAACACTGTAAACCTGCTTGTATTTTTAAGTGAAACTTTTTTTCAGAGGTTTTCATCATGGAATCTCATTCAATAAATATTTTACAGTGCTATCAGTGCTCATCAGTAAATAAGTATTAGATACAAAGGCTTACAAGATCTGGAATGACAACCTCTACAAGGTCGTTAGATGGAAGAAATACACAAAACAGTAATTTTGCATCCCAGATCTGGCACCAAAGAATAAATTACCTCCCCAAATACAACAAGCATTTTTCTTTCCTCTTTATTAATAAAAACATAAAATTATTTTAATTTAAATTTTGCAATGCAAGAAGAAGAGCTACAAACCTCCACAATCATAATGCTGCGAGAAATACTACATAAGTAACTAAACTTGGATTTACTAAATTTGGTCTTGTCATCCCTCAGATTTATTCAATGAAATATTTCCTCGATTTAAAGGCCCTTGGATAACATCAGATCACATCTGTCTATTTGTGTAGCTGCAGCCCATGCCTAAAATCCAATTCATCATATTATGCATGCTTAAAATACGTAAAATATGCATGCATAAAATCCCTTTGTACTTACATGCAAAATGCATAAAATATGTGTACTACCAATGTATAATTTAATGTCATTCTTCTTTAACAAACTCCCCTCTCTCGTATAGTCCATTAAACTGTGTTTATCCTTATAAGGAAGTAGTTCAATATCTATGGTTAAAAACAATGTGGATTCTCTGATAGATATCTTAAAATATCTTAATAAATGTTTGAAAAGGCATTGCGCAACAGACTCAGTAAGACAGAAGACTTCCTCATGACAGTCAATTAATTATCACAATTGGAGGAATTCTAGACAAAGTACTTCCCTTGTTAATGTGAACTCTAATTAAAATTCATGTCTCATAAAAGTCACTTGACTCTCAATTATGATTAAGTAGGCAAGGTCATTAGAACGCAGTGAGAACTGAGCCAGAAGCAGAGCCCCAGTTACTCAGTGACACTTCAAAAGTATTACCATGTTTTGGGAAGAATAGCTTGAGAAATACAAATTATAGTTCATGGTCTCCCTATATCAAATGTGAAGGACTGTTGGAAACAATAATTGTCTAGCCTTTTTGCTTGTTGTAGCATGGTCCTGAGTCAATGCTAAATTAAATGCAAACCTACTTCAAAATTAGTAGTAAATCCACATATTTTACATTAAAATTAATAATGGTCAAATAATTGTCAAGCTAAGTTTTAATTAGTAGACCCCACCAATTTTCAGTCTACTTAACAACTGACAATTTTGTTCTCTTGATCTGTTGAATGAATTACTTCTATTTTAAAAGGAAAACCTCAAAGATTACATACATACATACATACACACACACACACACACACACACACACAC